TATATATATATGTATATATGAAATGACGAAATAATCGATTTCGTCCTCTTTCCATAGTAGATACATAGAAGTATGTATCTCGAATACGAGTTGGCCCATGTACAATTCATGCATGCGCATGTCGCGAGAACATCCCCCATGCATTTTCATGACAAGTTCGCTTCGGTACAACAAGCTAGCGCACAATTTTCCTTCACGAACGGAACATTTATCGTTGTTGCGATATAGACAGCACAATTCATATTCGAAAGCTCATAACTCGGAAATGAATTTTCCATCCGCGATCATTTACTGGCAGATTCTTGCGAAAGATCTGGCAGTCCTAACGAAAAGAATTTACAAGAGAGGTTAGAATGCAAGAAATTTGAGAAGAAATGCGTAATTTTGAATTCTATAATAATATTTGATAAAATGCAAACGTAACAATAATATAATAATTATGCAATGCTCGGATCTGTGTGCTTGAGAGAAGTTTTCCTTTTTGATCAAGAAATACCTGCAATGAGAAACTTTGCATTGAAATGGAAATATTTGTTCAAGCAGGTGGAAAGATGTTTCCAACTTTCTAAATATTGTCGAATGGCTTTTGCATGCAAATCTTTTTGCTTTTGCATATTTTTGGATGCAATAAAAGGAAAATTTGTAGAAAAGAGAAAAATAGAGAAAGAAAGATAAAAAATGTTTCCACGTGCAGATGGTACAGTAATGCAGAATTTTTCATAGGATCAATTTTTTGTTTGTTAAAAGTAGCCTTTTTTGTGCTCCTTCGGAAAGATGTCAAAGCATTTTTCTATGTACGTATATACCTTGCTTGCATTTCAACGAAGAATTCTTCTTAAAATATTTTCAAATTTTCTAGTTGTTTGAAATATTAGTACTATTTTGTTCACATTTTATGTATATATATAAGTTTAATTACATAATTTGTTTAAGTAAGCTAAAATCTCTCCGAATTTTCTATCTCTTCGATTAATTTACTTCTGTTCGTTTTTTTTATTGTTCTTCACATTCTGATAACTATATTCGCTTTAATTTGCAATAATTCTATTTCATGCACATGTATTCCGCACATTATTACATGTAACGCACAATTTTCTGTCTCGGTGCTTCAGAACGAGGCTTTCGCAGCCTTCAGATCACATTATATATCCACGTAGACTTTTTCTTCACTATTTTGCACCTTTATAAAAGGAAGATTGTGGATGCGGTAACTGGATACAGGAAATGACGCGTATGAAAGCAATCAGGCGCCGCCAGTTCGCCATTTCCGTGATCCTCGTTTATTGTATGATTGTATCGATCAGCCAGAACAAAATCCCAATATGCGTTCGTCAACAGAAGAGGACACGCTGAAGAATATTCATAGAACTTTAACAGTAACACAATGCCACGAAATTAATAAAAAAATATACGTGATTTAAATGCCGATTTATCGGTACAATAAAGTCTGTTTTTATAGCTGAGCTAGTGTACCTTTGGAACTTAAAGTGAAATAGGTATTTGTTCGATATTTGAATAAAGCGAGGAAAAAAGTGCAGTCTAGTGCAGTCTAGTACAGGAATAAAAAACAGAACCATCAAAAGCTATCGGAGTTAAAAATCACTACAATCCCCGATGTGGGATGTGAGATACGGGCTGTTGAATTACAGTATCCGGGATGCGGGAATGGCAACATTTATTACAGGAATTATAAGATAATCAAGTCTCAATTTCAAGTCTCTCTGTTTTTCGCTTCTGTATTGCAAAAAATTACCTCGATATTAGTTCTTTTTGTAATTGGATAGTAATATAAAGTTACTGCAATATTTTCTTATTTCATTTGATATTAATGCTTAATTTGCTTTCTATTAAAATTGAAATTATTATATCAGAAATATCGAAATATTATCCATTTTTTTCTATCTCCTTTTTCTGTTTTATGCGGATACATGTATACAGTATTCAATCCTGGAATGTTACTCATATTTACTCATGTTACATTAACATTCACATAAAAGATGAAGATTCATACACATAATTAAAATTTTTTTACACTTTTTTATATTTACTTTACAAGTTGCAAAGTAGAATAATTAAATACTGTTTTAATAAATAAAAAAGTGATAATATTAAACCTTTAATTTTTAATTTTTAATATATTATTAAAGTAAATGTAGTAATAACCATTAGTAAAACTCTATACGATCTTTGCTAATGATTACTACAGTTTTTAATTTCTTTAAAATATGAATATATACATATGTATAAGCAGATGTGATAAGCGGAAAACATTTCTATATCGAAACTTGCTTCTTCTTTTCTTCTTTTATCACATTATTTTATCCGTTTATTTACGATGCACAAGCGTTCCGTATCTTGCCCTATTTGAAAACATTATCGAAAATAAGTGGCTCGCGTGCGCCTTCCGTTATGACCGTTTAGTCCTCGAAAAAAGGTTTCTTTACAATTCTGTCTCGTTCCGAAAATTTACAGCATGCCATTCATTCGTAAAAATGAAAACACCGTACTTGAGCAATAGCAAACTGCCTCGCGACGCTTTGCGA